TGAAAAATGAGTGAAATTTTAAATGTTGGCGGCAAGCCTCTTCGGGATAATACTATCACCAAGAAGCAGTATTTGACTTATTCGCCGTACACGTCATCTTATGGACACAATGATGAAGTTAGAATTGTCATCCAATCGCAGGATCAATACGTTTTACCTTCAGAAAGCTACATTCTTGTCGATGTTAAAGTGAGTCGTAAAACGGATGCCAGCCATGCCAATGCCGCTGGAACGTGGACAACATTTCCAGCACACCGTCTATTCAGTGAAATGCGGTATGAGCTGAATAATACGGAAATCGATCGAATAAAAATACCTGGATTGACATCGTATATGAAATCACAGACCGCAACCCCCGTCGATGTTTTAAGAGAAATAAACCAGATGATTAATTACGATTCACAGGCTCTCACTAACAGAGTTTACTCTATGATTATTCCGCTATGTTCTGTGTTCGGATTTTGTGAGGATTACCAAAAGGTTTTGATAAATGCTCGACATGAACTGGTCCTTGTGCGCAGTCGAAGTAATAACAGTGTTTATACCTGTGCAACTGATTCATTCAATATTGAAGTTACGAAAATTCAATGGAAAGTACCACATATCCAGCTATCCGACCATGCTAAATATGCAATGTTAAAGTATTTGGAACGCAAGCAGACAATCACCGTTCCATATCGATCATGGGATTTATACGAGATGCCTTCACTACCACAAACCGATAAAAATATATGGACTGTGAAATCTAGCACTCAAGCGAGCAAACCTCGATATGTTTTATTTGTATTACAGACTGCTAGACATGGGTTGGCTACTAGAGCTGACATGTTTGATCACTGCAATGTTACAGACGTGAAATTGTATTTGAACTCTGAGTGTTTCCCATATGAAAATTATAATTCGAATTTCACTGTTGGAAACTGTCAAGACCTGTATAACGCGTTTGCAAAAATCCAGTCGTCATACTACAACGGAACGAAACCGCATAACCCGTATACTTATAATTACGAAACATTCAAATCACAGCCGATATTCGCATTCGACTGTAGTCGAACGGATGATTCGCTACTGGGAGGTGCAGTTGACATTAGATTGGAGATCAATAGTAGCGCCCAAATTGCAGCCGATACTGCAGCATATTGCTTGATTATTTATGAGAATGAGTTTGAATATTCATCATTCAGTGGCATCGTTGTTAAAAGTGTGTAAGAAGGGTGGGGGAATCATTTTACCACATCATTATCACGAATGAGGTTGTACCATGAGTAAGCTGCACGTAGTAAAAGAACTTCACCGAGATGCTAGAAAGCATTTCCACAGACGTCACTTTATTATGAGAGGTATTGCTGAAACACTGCAAGCTGATTTAATTGAAATGCCCCCCGATCGCAACATGAAATATTGTTTAACGGTGATTGACGTTTTTTCAAAAATGGCGTATGTTCGACCGCTCAAGACGAAAACCGGTGCAGAGGTTACACAAGCGATGAAATCTGTGCTTGATTCTATTGGGAGACCTGTGAAGAATATTTGTGTCGACTTAGGAAAGGAATTTTACAATAGCGACATGACTAAACTATTGGAGAAATATAAAGTGAATCGTTATTCAACATTCAGCGTGATGAAGGCCAGTATTATAGAGCGCTGGAATCGTACAATAAAACGAAAGCTATATGAACAGTTTAGTTTGCGAGGTGGGTACAAATGGGTTGATATCATACAACAACTCGTCGACGAGTATAATGGCCGTAGACATCGTACCATTAAAATGGCTCCAGATGATGTTAATTCAGACAATGAACAAGAACTCTTAGACACGGTTTACAATTATAAGAGAGAATTACCGTCTAAAGTTAGTTTTAAAGTAGGAGACCATGTTCGTTTAAGCAAGTATAAAAACGTATTCGAAAAAGGTTATCTTCCAAACTGGACTACTGAAATCTTTGTTGTGAACAAGATCCAATATACGGATCCAACTACATATTTGCTAGTTGATTGGGAAGGTAATGAAATCAAGGG